TCTGGCAGGTGGCAACAGCAGTGACTCAGACCCAGACGTCGGGACCACCGTCCTCAACCTGCAGCCCCGAGCCAGGCGCTTCTTGCCAGAACAGTTCTCAAAGAAAGACCCCCAGGCCTATAAAATGGAATGGAAGAACGAGGTAGATGCTGATTCCAGGCAAGGGCAGCCCTGCAGCTCCCCAGCTGCCCACAGCAAAGAGGGGGGCCCCCAGGCCCCAGGCGTGCTCTGCCAGCCCCTCCTCTCCAAAGGTCACTTTGGCTCCATGCGGGGCGACCGTATGAACGAAGGCATCCGACCCAAGGCGCCACCTAGGCTGGTCCGAAGGGCATCAGAACCTGGAAACCGGAAAGGTCGATTCGGGATTGAGAAGCCTTAATGGAAATGGCCAAAGCAGACCTGGGGGGACCGGCCCTGCCCAGCTGTGGCTGGTTACCCAGCAACCTGACACAGCAAGGGAATCCACTTCCAACCCTCTATGCATCTAAATACTGTCCTTGGGTGGTAGAGCCATGCCTTTGATCCATGGGGCAAATGCTTATCCCAAGAAGCAGAAAATCAAAGAAAACAAAAGCCCCATAAAATGTCTCATATGACCTGTTGCTAGCAGTTGTATTCTGTGCAAGCCTGAAGAAAAAAAAGCCACGTGTGCCTTTATTGAACTTGAAGGACAGAACTTGAAATTTTTAACACACCCTTGTTGGTGAAAGTTTTAATATATACATATATGCCTCAGATTTTATTTATGAAAAAATATGTATATCTGTAATTAGTTTTTCAGTGAACGGCACTGAAAATACTCAGAACACCTTTCCATGGCATCCAGGGCAGCTCCTAGAGGATGGGGGGCATCAGCTCAGGGTGGAGGTGTTTCCTGATCCTGAGCTGACGCCAGTTGGTTAAGGAAGAGTACGGCACGGAGCAGAGACCCCGAGGATGGCAACAGCCAGAGCATCTAGGCAGAACCTCGTGGCCTGGCTCCCAGACTGTAGCACCTATGAAATGATGAGAGTCAGCTGGTTTTCAATTTGTTCCTCGTTCTACCACGTGTTTTGGGTGACATCTAGATTCCATCTCCCCGTCGTGTTTAAATGGTACAAAGAGAAGGGCTGTGTGGGTGACACCAGCTTATGCTGTATGCCAGACACAGAGCCAGCTTGTGACGAAGTCTGGCCTCACGTGGTGGGTGTGGAGATGACAGGGCAGCGCCTGTACAGCTGGCTGCAGGGTTTTCTCTTGTGCAATACTGGGAGGAGGATGCAGGAGACCCCCCTGTCACGCCCACCTGCAGCCACCTGCTTTAGACCTTTTCTGTAGCACATTCTAGAACTTTGAATCCAGGACAGAGGCTCCAAGCAGACAAAGATAAAAGTAGGGATAAACAATATTCCAATGTTTAACCAATTGGTGAGAATTCAGGTTTTGAATTTTATGCAGGAAGCACTTTGGAGAATGTGGGAGTTCTCTTTTTTTTGCACTAGTCTGTAATTTCTTACCTCTCCCCCCTCAAGAAAGTAGTAGCTCAAATTCTTCATCTAAAAATGAATTCTACTTATCTGAGTACTTTTTAAAAGTACAGCAGAAAGACGAGAAGTGGAACATAATCATTAAAGATTAATATTGGAATCTCTCAGACGATAGATTTTATTGGCCTGTCACTCTTCCCAGAAAAACCCCCTCTTTAAAACTTGACTAGAACAAGACTCAAAATTTCTGGGTTTAGATATGAGATGAAGCCACTCATGTAGTCCCTTGGATTCACATTGGAGATACAGCAAAGGAGACAAGTGACCACCTACAATTGCTGGAAAAAGATGAATAAATTCAACAAGAAGATCCGGTACTTAGAAATCCTCAGCCGTAAATCTTATCCCTTCATTCTTCCTCCACCAACGTGAAGTAAATCTTCTACCTTTTTTTCTCATGTTCTAAAATCTTGGAATACTGCTAGATTGTTGGGCATGAGACAGAGGGAAGGGTAAACACACAAGGTACAAGTTCAAAAAGTGCACGATTTCTTTCCCAAACTCTCCCAGGTTGATCAGTGGAAAGCAGTGTAGACGTAATTTGAAAACTGCAAGTTTAGGACCCTGTGCCAAAATTCTTAATTTTAAATGGAAATATTTATATATAAAAATATATATATGTATTTCATCTGCTGGAAATAAATTAAAACTGACTTTTAATTTAGAATTTTCATTATAGGACTATGATTCACCAAGAGATGTGATGTATATTTTTGAGAGTTTGAAGACTAAGCTGAAAAGGAAACTGAGATGTAAAATGATCTTAAAAATGAATTTCCTGATTTTTCTTGGTGTCCTAGATTAATAAATATTAGAAGGAGTCTAACGTTCTGGAACGGAAGGAGAAAAACATGGAAATGTTTATTATGATACTTCTTGTTAAGCACGTAGACCAAATTCAGCTTTCACCAATTAAAAGTCAGGTAAAACACTTGGATGACATTGTGTAAATTTCTAAGAAGGAACACTTATGTCATTTTATCTTTATTATCAGTTTAAATTTTTCCTTATCTGTGGAATGATAAAATCGATGAAAAAGAAATTTGACTTTAGTATTTTCTCTGTACCTTCTTTTTATGAAATTATTAATTTCTAGACACTACAGGAGGAGAGGGTATGGAGTTGAAACCCTTTAACTAAATGTCACAACAATCTAAATTTCTGCAGTACAGAAACATCCCTGCCCTTGTAAATGATTCCCTTGTTTCAAACAACACTTGATCCGGCCAGAGTTCCACTGTGATTGTGGAATTTTGATGGGTCTTTAATATTTGTTGTCAAAAAAATTGATTTGAACTATTTACAAAGTCAGGGCTTATTTCTTTATATGTGATGCTAAGGCCGGTTATTGGGAGCAGTTCTGTCAGTTAGCAGACCATTAGAAATTGGCCCCAAAGTCTGACACTTTTTAGAAACATGCGTTTGCTGTATATGCCCCCAAATATTCAGGGTGAAACTCCCTTCGGCTTTTGCTAAGTTTTGGAGTCGGGGTGTACCGTTTTACCTGGCGGGGGGGCGGGCATGTTTGTTTACATAAGAAGCGAGAAGCAGTTACTTATTACATGTCTCAGCACATTTTGCATCTGTTGCATTGCCCAAATCATGTTTATGTTAAAACTGGCATTTCACAAACAAGTATGAGAACTAATATTTTATTAGTTCCAAGTGCATACTTTACTCTTTCAAGAGTGATTGAAGGGTTTCTTTGTGCAGTTGATGTAGCTGTGACATTATCTGTTGAGGCCTGAACACTGAATATTGATTCCCTCCGTCAGCTTGAATAAGCCAGGCTCATGAATCAGAACTGTCTGGTGATCTGGGATTTTCTGGTTCATTTTTTTTTCTCCACTCTTAGAGCAAAATGGGTAGTTTGCTGGGTTGTTTTTTTTTTTTGATGTGAACCAATTTTTTTTAGTCTTTATTGAATTTCTTACAATACTGCTTCTGTTTTATATTTTGGTTTTTTGGTGGCAAGGCATGTGGGATCTTAGCTCCCTGACCAGGGATTGAACCCGCACCCCCTGCGTTGGAAGGCAAAGTCTTAACCACAGGACCGCCAGGGAAGGCCCAGCTTGCTGGTATTTTATATCCCACATTTCAACCAGGTCCTTTCTTCAACCTACCTGCAAGGCAAGTGAGAGCCCCAGCTGGTACCTGTTGCCTGGCAGGGACCATAGCTCTCGTCCACGATAAATGACAGCTCCCTTTGGAATTTTTCCCAATGTCATTCACTCCCCACGTGGCTGACACCCTCAGACGGTCGGTCAGCAGATGGTGGCCAAATACCCACATGGTTAGTTAGTTGTTGAGTGTTTTCAGTGTTCTGCTGGCACATCAATTTCCAATCCCTTTTATATTTCTAGTTTTCTACAATTCTTTTTCAAATAAAATTCTACTTGACTACCTCTAAGAATAGTCAATAAACTGTGGGTAGTTCTCATACCGGTCTGGTCAGGGAATGAGTTTTTCTGTGTGCAGAGTTAACCTAGCTACTGTAAATGGATGGTCACGTTTCAACCTGCATGGCCTATTGATTCTTTTGGATGGCTCGGGACCTCTCAGTCTGTCACAGAGGTTTTATGGGGACGCGTCATCCTCGTATTGTAGGGTGGAGAAAATCCCTCCGTGAGATGCCCAGCCGACTTTAATGCTGGACATACTGGTGGTGACTTTTCTGATTTTCACTTCTGTAACGAAATACTTTGAATTAAATATTCAAATGTTTTTCCCCTTTTTTATTTCATTGGGTCCTGCTGAGTCATAAGTATGAGTGGTAACTGAATTTCTAATTTAAATGAGGCTTTTTTTCTACTTAAATTTCTAATTTAAACGAGGCCTCCAGTTACAGTATCTGCCAAACAAATTGTATGTGTGTACGCTGACAAAGGAGTGCTTCTCCTGGTTTCTGTGAAATGTCGTACAGAAGTTTAAAATATTAAGTTACATGGAAACGTTTAATTAGTCACTATGGAGAAAATCATACATCACATGAAACTAGGAAAGCCCCAGAAATTCCAACTTTTATATTTATACATCAAAACCATTCTCATTTGTACTAAATGGGGTCATGAGAGCTGGAATTTGTGAAAGAAGAATTTTTAAGAGTATTAAAGTAGTTTCAGGGCCTTCCCTGGTGGCGCAGTGGTTGAGAATCTGCCTGCCAATGCAGGGGACATGGGTTCGAGCCCTGGTCTGGGAAGATCCCACATGCGGCGGAGAAACTAAGCCCGTGCGCCACAACTACTGAGCCTGCGCTCTAGAGCCCATGAGCCACAACTACTGAGCCTATGTGCCGCAACTACGGATGCCCACGCACCTACAGCCCGTGCTCCACAACAAGAGAAGCCACTGCAATGAGAAACCCGCACACTGCAATGAAGGGTAGCCCCCGCTCTCCACAACTAGAGAGAGCCCGCGCGCAGCAACGAACACCCAACACAGCCAAAATTAAATAAATTCATTAACAAAAACAAATAATAAAATATATTTTACACATGAGCCACTCTTTGGGAACATAGTGTTGTATGTACATGGTGTTCACTCACTGTGAGACCAGCTATTTAGACCAAGGTCACAGCTGATCAATCCCTGGGACAAAACTGACCATTCTGTTTGTACTGCACGAATGACTGGACGCCGAGGCCTCAGGACCGGTGTACAACCCACCACTCCCAGTGGCTCCTCCGTCTATACACTTAAGTTTTATAATTGATAAGCCATGTAGTTCAAAAAGGCCCAACTTCAAATAGAATCCTAAGATCTGAATGGATTTGATGACTGTCAATTAATTGAAACAAACAAAACTGGTAATAACTTCTGTTTACATTCTTTTCTCCTAGTACAAATTTGGCAGGGAATCATGGGAAAAACATGTTACAATTTAAAAAGCGGGCTCTCATTCTGACTCAGCGAGTCCTTTCAGATCCAGCCACGCAATCTCTTCAGGCCTATGTCTTCTCAGAGGTCAACTGAGGGAGAGAGATGACCGAGGGATCCTTCTTGAAATAAGGGCACCGCCAGTCCTCACCGTCTGCACACTTCCTTTTCGGTAAACCTCAACCCCCTATTTTACTACAGCCATGATGGGTGGCCTCAGAGGCGTAGGGTTATACTTTCAACATGTGTTGCCAGGTGGAAGAGGACTTACCACCAATGTGCTGGAAAAGAACTGCAAAACGCCGCAGGAGGAGCCTGTAAAAAACATAAGTGATATCTATAAAATCAGCTAGACCCATCACAAAAATGGATGAAATTAACAGAAAAATATTAGGGGAAAAAAGACCAGTTTTAAAAAGTAAATTACCCCATAATAATTTTTCAGATGGAAGAGTAAATTAATATAATTTTTAGTAAAAGCCCTTCAGAATAAAATGGAGGGGAAGCAGGAGAGAGACTAGAGGCAAAGGTCACCCTTAGGGACCTTGAGAGAGTCCTTCTCACCCTGCATGAGGCGAGAAGTCATGACTTCTCCATGACTATAACATTAGGCTACAGGTTCCCGCAGGCAGGAGTCCATGCCTAACCAGCTCCCCGGAGAGGCTCAGTAAGTACCTGTGACGTCACAGGTGGTGTGGGGCATGGGGGTGATGCTATACCTGGAAACCTCTCTGAACATACGTCGTCTAGGAAAAGATGAACTACATTTGCTCCAGGGTCGTACTTTGAAATAGTCTGAAAATTCATTTTATACCCTTTTCAGTTCACCGTTGGATATTACTTAGCTAAAAGACTGATGTGTTTTCAGGTACTCAGTTCAGGGGGGTGGAAAATCAGTGCCCTGAAAATGTGCAGGATTGCTCACCTACTATTCCAGCAACTGTTGGACTCGCTCCAAAAGACTTGACATGAAGGCTCAGTAAAGGGACGACCGTGCTAACACCAAACAACTCCTAAGGAACAAAACGCTCATTAACGCAAATTGGAAACTGAGGCCTGGGTGTCTTTAAAGTGGTGATCCTAATTATAAACTGATTTAAAAAACCCCACAGTATCTAAAATTTTGAGCAAACAAGAACTCAAAATTGTATCCTACAGTAAGCTATACTCATCAAATTCAAGGAATCAAGGAATCCAAATACAATGTGTAAAAATAGTTGCCACCTGTAAATGCCTGGATCGCCCTGAGAATCCATTTTAACTTTAGCTTCTTTGTCACTGATCCTTAATATTCAAGGAGCATGTACTACATGCATTCCTCAAATTTAAAAAATGGGGAGTAATGAAATGAGCCAAGAGGGAGGGATAATGCGTATTTCTGAGCAAAGCAGCACCTGTTAAATAATGTGAAATTCCTCCCGGAGTCAAGGAAGGAGACCCATGTGCCGTCTATAGCCTGACGACGTAAGACCTGAAGGGAAAGTCTCAGTACAGCAGAAAGAAGAGAGAAGGCTGGTGTACTAGGGGGTGGCCTGCCATTCTTCACTAAGGCACAGAAGGTGCATGGGCCCTGGGGTCAGAGGTTTTCAATTCCAGCTCCATCACTTACTAAGCATGTGCCCTTGGAAAGTTATTTCATGTTACCAGCGTCGGTGCTGCCATCTGTAAAAAATGGGGATAACAGTACCTGCGTGGTAGAAACGGGATGAACATTAAGAGACATGATGGCTGAGGGAGGTCTGACACAGCAGAAGTGGAAACGTGTTCTCTTTCCTTCAATTCTGGGGTAAGTACTGATCGTTTGGGCTAATACTCTTGAGTTAGTAGAAAGACATTTTTTCCTTTAAGTTTTGTTTTCCTTCCTCTGTCACTTGGTTACCTGCTACAACTGGTTCAGGAGAGGACAAACACATCTTGCACACACACAGAGAGTTTTCTTTATATGCAACCCAAATTCCTTTTCCTATAATCCTGGTTAAATAGAAATATCTTTTTTCTTCCACAATTAATCCTTTGCTTCCTTCTCTTGGTGGCTGTACATTAACCTAACATAGAAACACGAACTTCCAAATACGCTTCTTAGGGGCCCTTTTCCATGGTTACAGCTTTAGATGGCCATATACTTAATATCCAGTGACCTTACATAGCTGACACATTTATAATACCAGAACCATGGCTCATTATTTCAATTTTAAGATTACTTAAAATTTCCTCTGTTTCTGAGCCTATTTCTTCTGGGCTTTACTATCAGCTTTGCCCCATCAGCCTGCTGATGATTTATAAGACTCAAAATACATCAGCTAGCTATTGAGTTTTCTGGATTTTTCAGAAAAGGAAACTCAATTGTCCAACAAGATTCTTTTTTCCAAAAAAATTCCCAGTACCACTTGTCATTTATTTCAAATGATTTTTCTAAATAAGAAGGGGAGAGGAAGCTGTAAGTAGTCAGGCTGAAATCTATAGGAGGTAAATATGAAAACAGCAACTCATAGCAGACTTACTTTAACACTTAGTGAGCCTGAAAAATATTATCTTTCTCTAGCCGGCTGCTAGCTCTTTCCTCTCAGAAAGTTCTGTTTTAAAATTGACTTCTCCATGACTATAAAAGGCAACTTCTCCCTTCTTCTGAAGCCATAGCTTCTTCAAAACCACCCTCTTCTGAGTGCACTTCAAATCTGGCAACTGGTCATGTGCTTATAACCATTTATAAGGAAATCAGGTGAGAGGGGACCACTTAAACCTTTCTCAGGGAACATCTACCTCTCTCAGTGATATCTGATGAATACATTCTAAAGTTTTAGGACCCTTTTCAGGGTAGGAACCCAAATATTTCTTGATTAGTGGATTATCTTTTTTTAAAAAAAGAATTATCACCTGACTAAAGCTGATTAAATGGAATCTAAATCTCTCCGGGTATCTGGAGGAAAGAAAGGACCACAATCATAGATCTTAGCATCATCTTAGGATGCTAATCAAAAAGTACCTAGAGGGTCATCTTAGTCTTCCTTCCTGAACAAATTAAAACCTGGAAACACAGATAAAAGCTAAAAACAAAACATTCTGGCAAATGCTTTCATCTTATTCCTTTCCTCTTCCAATTGGAAACCATCTTCCTAAAAGTCTTAGGGGTCTTTACATCCCTAGGTATATTAAAAATAACAACTAAATTATGTATAATATTCCTTAGATGTTAGCTAACAAAGAGCCTTTAGATTCTTCAAGGATACCCAAAGTGGCATATATTTTAATTGTTTACAACGTTTTCCATTAAAAAATTCCCTATTCTCTTTTAACTCTGGGAAATCTTACATTTTCTCCTTAAGATATTAGAGACCTAATGCTTCTTTCTAATTATTAAAATTATTAAAACTTTCCATCAGGCTTGCTAGATTAAACTGTGCCATGTGCACAGCATGTAGCCAACATACGAGAAGCTTGGAATATTTAAATCTGTATCGGAAGGTCATAGTGAGTGATCTGCAAATTTATTTTAAAAATCTCAAACTATTTTGCATTCTCGTCATGCTGGTCTCCAAAACTCTCTGAACCCTGGTCTGGACTTTCCAGGTAAGGGTCCAAATCCTCTTCATCTGGCAGAGCCAGAATCCAGTACCATCTGAGTTAGGGTGGTCCCCATCCCCTACCCGAGCATGGATGACACAGAACTCCCTTTCCAAACTTGAAGAACCACCCACAGTGGACGGTTCTGAATTCTGGGTGACTGGATTGGAAGGCTGAAGAAGCACCACATCCTGAGCCTGAACTAAGATTAAAGAAATGGGATCAGAAGGAGAGCCAGGCTCTGACCCCAAGCACTGAGCCTGGGGTGGGGTCTGCCACGGTAACTGGAGACAGAGATCCTGGCACAAACGTTGCCCTCCCTGGGTGTCTCACAGTTCTGTGTCTAAGGGATTTGATGAATATGCTTTCATCGTTGTCTTAACAACTACTAGCTCAACATTAAACTTTACAGACTGTTGAACACCTTGCACTGAGGATGGGGAGGGAGGCTGTCTCCCTGCTCCTCTCCTAGCTAAGCACCGCGTCCTAACTCGAGTCAGGCATCAGACTGGGGAGTCGTGATCTTCACCTGCATCTGGGCAGAAAACAGTAATTCCTCTTTGCCAGGACCCAGTGCCCCTTGGGGACCATCTTCAAGGCCTCAGAAGGCAGCCTTCTCCCATTGACACTTAAACCTGACCAGCTCCTTTTGTCTTCAAGATGAAGTCCCAGGCCCAGCAAAGAGGAAATCCTCCTGGGTCCTTGTCCCAAGGCTGCCCTAACCCGGATTAGCTCACAACCAGGGCAACTGAACCAGGCCTAGACTTGGGGAAAGAGGGGTTTAGAGACAGATGTAGGGTTCCCGCATATAATGGCACAGGAATTACCAACACAAGCTCAGTTGGTAATACTGCAAGGTCTTCCCAGTTGGGAATGGGTATTACAGTTCCTGGAGCTCCATAACCCCTACCCCATAACAGGTTTTCAGAAATTCCATGAATAAATGGAGGGCCAGCTGGCTGGATGGTTTACCCTACCATACACTCAGTTTTCTAATCTTCCCATTCTGCATGGGAAATTAATAATTGTCCTTATTAAACCAGGACGCGCACACAAGTCGTAACAAAACCGAACCTGCCTTGTGCAATATATAAACAGTTTGTCGAAAGGCAGATGTGTATAATTCACTGTGATTTGCATTTTTAAGCATTCCAGTCTACCAGGAACCCTAAGGAAAATGTACCTAATTCTGCCCAAGACCAACAGAACTTCCCCACCTGGCCTGGTAAAAAGGACCTGTGTGTTCCTACCACTCCCGCAGTCACACCTGAAGCTGGTGCTGGAGCGTCTTAAACAGCGGGGCTGCGATTGGGGGGCGCGAACTGGACCCAGTGCAGGCGCGAAGGTCAGGCCTTATTTGTGGTCAGGTGCAGAGGTAAGGGCGTTACGGGGCAAGAGCGGGACTGAGAGGTAGGGAGGCATCACCAGGCAGACCGCTGCAAGGAAAAGCACCCTTGATCGGGTGCCAGGTCGCGGACGCAGCCGGCACTTCGCGTCCAGCCCCGCACGCACTCACCAGGAATCCCACCAGCTAGAGACAAAGCAGGAAGCGGCGGGCTCCGACGGTACCGGGGCCGGGAGCCCCCGCCTGGGTCCCCTGTCCTGGGCTTCTCCCGCGGTGTCGCCGACGCCAGGCCCCGGTCCGGAGCCATGCCGCCTCAGCCCCAGCGTTCCGTAGGCTCACACGCGCTGGGGGCTGAGCTCACCCGACAGGCCCGCGGCGCGGGCCCCGCCCCTAGGCGGAAGCGAGCGGCTGCGCCTGCGCAGAGCTGAACGCCGCGGGCGGGCCTTCTTGGGCTGTGCTTCCTAAGCAGGCGCGGCGGGGGGAGTCTGCACGGGTTCCCGCTGGTTCGCGTCCCGCCCGGGGAGTGGACGTGTGTGCACGACGCGCTGGTTTTATGACGGTGATAATGAAGCTCTGCGTATCCTGGGGATAAAGAGCCCGCCGCCCATGCTATTGGAGGGCTGGAGGTAATTGAGATAATGAGCTTCACCTGAGGAGTGGTAGGGGTGGGCCTAGGTGGTAGCGCCGGCTTCGGTGGGAAGATGCGCAGACCGAGGGCCCTAGTTGGCTGTGACTGACCTGGAGAAAGTTCCTTTGGCCCCTCCCGGTTTCGGTTTGCCCCCTTGAAACACAGGAGGACATAGTGTGGACCAGCCTCCTGGAGTTGTAAGGAAAAGCCGCAAGCGCTTTCTCTGGGGCCTGCGACGGGAACTCATATCTGGAACATTCGCTGTCCTTTAGGCAAGGTGGAGCCGCCTGGTTTTGAGGTTTTCCATCGCAAGAGGGCAGGGCTTCCACCAGGGGCGTAACAAAGGTGCTACTGAGAGGAGAGGAGGCCGTCATATGGACGTTTGGGCCTCCAGGTGCTACCAGCCCGTTAGGAAGCAAAAGGGGTACCTCTCCTGGCTGGAGTGATGGAGCCTGGTTAGCGAGGAGAAATTGGGTGATGTGTGAGGAGTGTGATGTGTGATGTGTGATGGAGTGAGGAAGGACTTTATGTGGAAAATTCCAGAAACATAGAAACAAAAGAAGATAGAACTCTGGAAAATCAGTTCCTGAACTCGCGAAGGAAGAGTTTCATCCTTGCATGAAGTAAAGACCCCTGACCAGCTTATGTTTAGGCTGAGGGCAAGTGAAGGAAGAAATAAGTAGGAAAAAAAAAAGAAAAAGAAAAAAAAATCTCAGTTTTGGAATCAGTGTCTCTTGTTATTCCTATAATAGCTGTTTCCAGGAATAAGTTGATTAAGGGACACTTAGTTTCAAGCTTCATCTATAGATATGAAATTTTATATGTTAATTGTCATGCTGTTGTCAATTTGAATTAGGTCATTAACATTACTACTGTTTCTGAAATCTCTAGAAAAGTTTTCTCCTTTAGATAAAGAACCTTGGCAAAAAAAAAAAAAAAAAAAAAAAAGAATAGGTAGCAAAAGAAGGAAGCCATAGATATCAGCTAGGACCTTGGGCCCGGGCCCAGTACAGAAGTGAGGACATGTAGAAGCTTTGCATATTTTCTCTCTGTTATACATGTGGGCGTTCGCGTATGCTAATCTTCTTCTGTCTTCTTCCAAGTGTAATTTTACATACAAGCAGTTGGAGCCTAACTTTACAATTTAGTCTTTAGGTAACAGAAAATGTAGTAAGACTGACTAAATTTGAGGAGTAATTGAGTAATGTATAGAGCCAGAATGGGTGCAACGACCGTTGAGACTTTTTTCTTGTGTTAGGTGGAAAAATAGAGTTGTTTTATGAAAATTGAAATGTGAACAGAAGGATGCATTTGGAAGCTGAGTACCGAAGAATGGACCGTGCCAGTTTTCAGTTTATTGCTCTTAGCTCCAGATACACGCCTTATTGCCCTGCTGTGTGACCCTGGAGCTGGACCCTGTAAACGTATCTCCTTCGCTAGGTGGCATGATGTTAAACTCTGGCAATAGACCATGCTGAGGGACACTGCATGGGGAAGGAGCTTCTCTTCCAGACTAGTGTGCTGTGTGTGGTAGCCATGAGAATGTGAGACACTTAGTGTTCCTTAGCCCCCAGCAAGGTTCAGTGGCACCCATACAGGCGGCAAGTTCAGTGGGCATCCCAGCTGCTTTCCAGGGGAACCTCCCAGGTGCCCAAGCAAGTAACTTCCTGGCCATTTCCATAGGCACCCCTCTGGTGGCTTCCCAGTGAGTTTCATCAGTTTCCCAGCTGAATGCAGTAGGCAAGCACAAGATATAAAAGACATCTGTATTTGATAGAAAGATATAAAATTGTCCCTATTCATAAACCACATGGTCATCTATGTAGAAAACACTAAGGAATCTACAAAAAAATGTACTAGAACTAGATCCCAATGGAGTTAAACTAGATAACAGAAAAGTAGCTGAAACACTCAGAAATATCTGGAGATTAACAGCACAGTTCTAAATAACGCATAGTCAAAGATACACTCTCGAGATAAATTTAAAAAAATATTTTCAACCAAATGAAAGTGAAAATACAACTTATCAAACTTGGCAGATGCAACAAATGTGGCACTTGGAAATTTATAGCATTGAATGCATATGTTAGAAAAAAGATCTAAAATCAATAATCCAGGATTCCACTGTAGGAAACTAGAAGGAGAGCAATTTTACTTTCTTTGTTTAGAACCAACTTTCTGATCTATATCACATTTCTTCTTCCTGAAGAACTTCTTTTAACATTTCTTATCTTATGTGCTGGCAATGAATTCCCCCTGTTTTTATTGTATGACTAGGCTTGTTTTTTCCTTTACTTTTAAAGGGTATAGAATTCTAGAGTGAGATGTGGGTTTTTTCTTCATTCAGTCCTTAAAAGATTTCACTCTATTGTTTTCATCCTTGTATATTATCTGATGATACGTCTGCTGTGTTCTTCTGTAGGTAATTTGCTTTTTCCCTCTGGCTGCCTCTAAGATTTTACCTTTTTCTTTGATATTCAGCAGTTTGAATATGATAGGCCTACTTGTGTGCTTTTTCTATTTTGGTATTAATCCTGCTTTATACTGTCTGAGTTTCTTTGATCTGTTATTTGCTGTGTTTCTCATTTAGGAACATTTTCAGCCATATTTCTTCAGATGTTTCTCTGCCCCATTTTCTGCCTTGTACTTCCGGGACTCCAGTGATGCAGTAGCATGACCTAATGCTATTACCCATTAGACCTTGAATGATGTGTTCTGTTTAGATTTTTCTTTCACTCTTTTTTTCTTTTCGTATTTCAGCTGGGATAATTTCTATTGGTCTGTCTTCAAGTTCACTGATTCTTCCCTTGTCTGTGTCTAGTCTGCTGATAAAATTGTCAAAGACCATCACCATCTCTGTTATTGTGTTTTGTTATCTAGAATTTGCATTTGATTTTTTCTTACAGTTTACATCTCTCTGCTGAAGATGCCTATCAGGTCTTAAATATTGTCTACCTTTTCCAACATAATCTTTAACATATTTATCATAATTATTTTAATTTCATTGTGTGATAATTTCAACATCTGTGTCATATCTGGGTTTGGTTATGACGATTGCTTTGTCTCTTCAGACTGTGTTTTCTCTTTCTTTTTTTTTAAACAACATTACTGAAATATAATTCACATACTACACAATCAACCTATTTAACATGTGTAATTCAATAACTTTTAAAATATTTACAGAATTGTGCAACCATCACAAAAATCAATTTTCAAATATCTTAATCACTCCAAAAAGGAAACCTGCACATCTTAAGCATAACCCTCCAAACCCCCAGCCCTCCAAAGCTTAGGTAACCACTAATGTACCTTCTGACTCTACATTTGCTTATTCTGGATATTTCAGAATGCATGGAATTATATAATATGTGTTCCTTTGTGACTTTTTTTTCTCTTAGTATAATGATTTCATAGTTCATCCATATGGTAGCATGGATGCTAAATAACATTCATTCTGTGGTTATACCACATATTATTTATTCCTTCATTAGTTGATGGACGTTTGGGTTGTTTCCAATTTTTGGATATTATGAATAATGCTGCTATGAACATTTGTGTACACGTTTTTGTGTAGATATATGTTTTCATTTCTCTCACAGTGGAGCTTCTAGGTCATTTGGTAACTTTGCGTTTAAACATGGAGGAACTGTCAAACTGTTTTCTACCGGCAATATATGAGTGTTCTAATTTCTCGACATCCTCGTCAACACTTGTTATCTAATGATTGTGGATTTACATTTCCCTGATGGGCGATAATATTGAGCATCTTTTCATGTGCTTATGGGTCATTTGCATATCTTCTTTGAAGAAATGTCTGTTCAGACACTTTGCCCATTTCTAAAATGGTTGTTTGTCTTTTTATTATTGAGTTGTAAGAGTTCTTTATATATTCTAGATACGAGTCCTGTATCAGATATATATACTTTGCAAATATTTCTCCCAGTCTGAGGGTTATTTTTTCACCTACTTGATAGTGTCCATTAATGAACAAAAGTTTATTTTGATAATGTCCAGTTTATCTAATTTTTGTATTGCTTGTGCTTTTGCTGTGACATATAAGAAACCATTGCCTAATTAATGGTCATGAATATTTATACCCGTGTTTTCTACTAAGAGTTATATGGTTTTAGCTCTTACATTTAGGCCTGTAGTCTATTGTGAATTACTATTTTTTGTAAATTTTGCGAGATAAGGAGGGAGTGGGCCATGGCTAAAATGTCAAGGACTCTTGCTGTTCTTGTCAAAATTTAAGTAGATTTTTTTGAATAAATGTTTCTTCATTTGCTCTTTGCTTTTAGGACAGTTTTCTTAGACTTTAAATGGTCAGATGTTTTAAATAGATTTCACGAGTTATACTAGTTTCACCAGGGAATGGATCCATGGAACTGCCCTGGCTGTCATTCTGGAAGTAGAACTCAGAGTGGTTTTTCTTGCTTTTCACGTTCCTGTAATATTTTGTTGAAAGCTTGGCATGTTGTATAGGACAGTAATAGTGAAATTATACTATTAAATATATATACACACACTTTGCCTCCTGCCAGTCCTTCAGTGTGAGGGTGTGTGTTAATCTGGTAGAGAGTGGTCTGAGATTGTAGTTTGTTGTTGCCGTGGTTGCCCTCCAGACACCATACGCTTGACCTTTCTCTAGTGCAGTGTTTCTCAACTACGGTGATTTTGCCTCCTGGGGACACTTGGCGCTGCCTGGGACATCTTTGAATTTGGGGTGTGCTCCTGGCGTCTAGTGAATAGAGACT